TACGTTAAGAAACGAGCGCTCATTTATCATTTCATATTATAGAAGCTTTATTTAACTTATTTATTCTAAAGTCATCGTTTATTACATAATCGATCGTTGGAAATTTGATTTTAAATTATGTCTGGTAATAGGTACGAGAATTACAAATTTGTTTCGCAACTTAATTTTTTCATCCGGTAATTTTATCAGGATACCGGAGCTTTTTTCCCAATTCAATTTTCCACGCTACGCGAGCTCATTCCACATGGATATATTAATTTACATAAAGAAAAACAAATGTTGCGCGAAATTCGAACGAAAGCTCGCCAGCTAAAAATACCAAATCCATCCGGGAATACACGTCCTACTTTCCAAAAATCCAAATCCCGTTGAAAACGTTCAAACAACGGTCGAAATTACTGTTACACCGTGTCTATATAGGCTTTATATGATTTTATTTCAGTTCACCCTCGCGCAAAATCGATTTTCGCATCCGCGATTTTTTTACAACTTCCTTTCGCTCTAACTTATAGAGTGCTTTCGAATTTTTTATAACCGGATTATCCCCTATATCTGTTCCAAGTGAGCTAAGGCATATGCATAAATTATATCCCTCGTTGAAGTGATTTATTTAACAATTCTGTAGTTAGCTTTAGATGTAAAAGAATTGTAGATATTTTTTAAGAATCTACATCATAAAAACGTCGCTCTTTACCCACAAACCGACACCGAATAACGAAGGGTTTTTTAACACACTCGCTTTGTTGGGGTGTTTAATAATCGAACTAGTTTTTCCTATTCTCATTCTCCTTATTCTCTCCTTATTCCTATTCTCCGAAACCGCGAAATTGTACTTTCTGCAGCATTTGTGGATTCGATTTCTGCAGGAAATTGTGGATTCGCTTCTTTCATTTTTCCAAAATTCGATGCTTCGGGCGAGTTGGTTCGTTGAACTTCTTTTTCGTTCGGATTTTTTAATTTTTCAACTAATGCAGTTCGTTCGAGCGTTCTATGAATTATCACCTGGTAAAATTATGAATGCTCCATTGATCGCTTTAGTTCCTTTTGCGGCTCGTTTATTAAATAATAGGCGAACGTGCCCGAGATCCCTTCCAGCGGTTTTCCGCTTCCTTCTACCTTTAGGAAACCGAATTTTGTGAGTCATCAGAACTTTGCGCCTAAATATCTCGAGTTTCCAGTGACATGTTAACTACCCGCTCGAGGTGTTTTCCTAATGGATAATTTCGTATTTTTAACCATTGTGGAATCGGGAAGTTTTGCTCCCCAATGTACTTACTGCTTTATGGCGGAATTTCGCTTATAACGGCTATAAAAAAGTACATAATCCCCTGCCGTATATCCCATCCACATCCTCCATTAGCAAGACACTAATCTCTTAGCGAAACCATCAAACTGAGTGTTGGGCGAAAACGTGGAGGATATGGCTTAATAAATAATTATAATGCTGTAATAGTATAAGCCTGTGGTCGTTTCAGGAAGTATTTTACGCGGATATTTATTAAAAAAATCCCTCGATGCGGCCGTGGACTTGATAGGTAGTGCAGCAGAATGTAGAGATAAAAGAAAACGAAGAAAACTATGCAGTTAACAGTATTGGTTTCCGCTTTATTTTAAGTAAATTGCCGCTGCTATTAGAAAAACTCGTTTTCCAACTAGAAATCTACTTATCGCTGATGTTTTGTAACATCGATACTGTTGCATATAGCGCAAAAATGCCGGCGAGAACGAGCAGATGTAATTTCAGAAAAATCAACATTAGAAAATTGATATAACTAACATAATAACGCGCCGTTTACGTTTCACTTTCACAATGATAAATATTCAATTAATACCCACATACATCTGGCAGTCTGTTGATGGTAATCAATCCGACATGATGTCGTAACGACCAGATTTCTTTATTCTCGTTATTAAAACGCTGTAAAAGGCGAGACCTTTTTCGCTCAAAATTCGAAATTATCACAATAGATTTATTCGAATGCACTTTCACTCGCCTCACATGATTCATTTCCCGTAAATTAAGCGATTGTAAACGAAACACACACACGAGAACAATAATAGAAATTGCTCCAATCACACCTACGAAACTGCTAAAAATTCCGAACTACTTATAATATAAAAATAGAAACTGTTGTGATTTATAATAATTAGATGAATCTACCAAACAGTCGGTCTGCATCAAGATTTATATCAGCTTGTTTAGAGAGAATTATATGAGAAAATACACTTTCGTAGACTTTGTAGTTTGTTTCTCATCAATTTTTAATTGCCCTACAATTTACAGCGAACATTCTTGGTTTAATCTACGAGCGAACGAGTGCATAAGATCCACACCCCGTTCGGTTTACGATTCGAATAAACGCTTCGGCGGGCGAGAGAGAAAAAACTGACAAACGACGGGCACACGTGACCGGCATATCTGCCGGGCAGATAAACCGGCCGGGAGTCCCCTTTTGACAGAAGGTTGCCATATACAGGGTGGCCCAGAACTCACGCCCCACCGGGAAATGCCTTATGGAAACGACAATGGAGATGCCACAACTGCAGTCGAAAACATGAAAAAGTTTTTCCTTTGGTAAATAAAGACGTTCAAAATCGACCAATCCTAGTAAGAATTCAAATCCACGAAAATCACGTGAATTAGCTATACAACAATTTGACATTATTGAAAGATTCTGCCAAAATGAAAGAGCTGCCAAAATCAGCTGCAATTATTGATGAAAGATTTGCTTTAAAATCGATCAAAAAATGGATCATTCGATTCGAACCACTTTTGAAGCGATAAAAAATTCTGTAGGTTTGATATCAGCACGACGAAGCTCCTGAATGATCGATTTGAAGGCAAATTTTTGATCAATAGTCACAGCTGATTTTGGCAGCTTTTGTTAACCTTGAAAGTGAAAAGGAAATAGAATCTTTCAATAATGTCAAATTGATGTATAGCTAATTCACGTCATTTTCGTGGATTTGAATTCCTACTGCAGGGATTGGTCGATTTTGAACCTTTTTATTTACCAAAAGAAAAACTTTTTCTTGCCTTCGACTGCAGTTTTGGCATCTCCATTGTCGTTTCCAAAAGACCTTTCCCGGTGGGGCGTGAGTTCTGGGCCACCCTGTATATCCTCTCGCGCTGCGGCTTAAACGCAGCTTATTATATCTTTCCATATACCCGTTCTCACGCGTTATTTCGATCGACTTTTGAACTCCAGCGTTTGTTATACGCCGTTTTGTGCTCGAAAAGAGGCGATTAATCGGAGAAGTCAATCCGGAATTTCGTTGGTTATGGTTTGGATATTTACTATTTAATCTACTAGTCAATTTGCGTCGAATCCCGCCGGGAAAACCGCTCTCTTAATTTCCACGGTACCGCTCGGGAATCATCCGCTCGGAAATAATCGGACTGGATGGAAAGAGCGAAAGAGAACCCAACGGATTCCAGACATCCAGAAATGAGGCCGTCGCCTGCAGTGCATAAATTAATGATCTAATCAACGGATTAGCCTGAGAAATTTCGTTAACCGGCCACCGGCCGAATTCGTCTTCGCTGCGAAGAGGTTCGGGCAATTTGTATTTGTAATTACATCCAGATAATTACCAGATAGTAGCAGTAGAAAACGAGGAACCTGTCGTGAAATGTGTGTTGTTTCGGGAAAAGTCTCGAAACGGTAAAACGCTGTATTTTCGCTTGTTTTGTTAATTGTTTTTGCTGCAAAACGCCGGCAACCTTGAATTGTATTTTAAGGCCGAAAGGGCGAGTTTAATAGACTGTTTTCCTGAACTGTCGGAGGCATATATCATTCTGTCGTGGGTATAGTAGATTAAATTGAAAGTCGATATAAGGGGATCTGGAATAATCTGTTATTAATCGGAACTTGCTTAATGGCTTTTTGGACATTTGACGCCCGAAAGGTTGGATCCAGGAAAAGGGAGGAACGACATAAATTTAAATTAGATAAATCGAATAACTCGATAGTTTAATATTAAATTTTTGCTCAAGGAGAATCTGGTCGTTCGAGAAAACCTAATTATAGGTTTACTTTGTTATTTCAACGCCCACAATATTTGTCTTACACATTACAAAACATTACAGTGTAGTCATTTAGCCGATTAATCAAAGGCCAGCCCTTAGATACATGTCATGTGTCGTCGCTGTAACTGTCAATACTGTCAATACTGTTCAATAATGAAGAGTTGTTTGAAAAAAAAAGTGCAATCAGGGGAGGATCAGATTTTTAATTAAGTCCTCTGCTACAGGTAATATTTTATTTAACAAAACTCGTCGCAAACAAGTTGCCATGTAATATAATATCCACGTACTAGTAGAATAATCACACACTGTGAATTTCAATGGGTCTTTCCATTTCGAAATGAACCGCTTCATTTATTGTTACGTACAGTTACTCTTGTGACCTTTAATTGACCTTTGACCTACTTCGTTATTAACGCTCCGCATTTCGAGGACGTTCGAAAATGTTAATTGTTGTCAAATTTGTTGTTGTTTTATTTCGATATGAAAAGCGGGAGAAACAAAGTCTCGGATATAGCCGAGTGAAAATTGACCTTGCGCCTGATTTCAATCGATTTTCCTCCGGATTTTATTTATCTGTCTGCGTTCCGAGCCATTAAAATCGCAAGATTGGCTTTAATTACGCCCGGAATAAATGAGAAAAAAATAGGAATGAAAAAATGCTGGCTACACGAACATTAAACCGACCGAACCATCAGCCGTTTCGTACAAAGTGAAAAATAATTAAACCTGTAATTTCCCGTCGCATAAATCACCGGCCAATTTTCTTCAGTAGCGTGCAGAGAATTACGTTTTCCAATATTCCTATTTATTACCAATTACTATTTTTCTTAATAGATGTACAACCAAATTAATTCATACAGAAGATTAAATAATATATATTTTTGCATAACATAATACAAAAATGCTTATAAAATACGAGGTTTAATGTACAGAAATTACATCTAACTACAAACTATACAAACTCATAAAACTATAATAATTCTTTCACAGGAATATCTGGAAGATAAGTGATAGTTTGTTTAAGCTTAACATCGTTGTAATCGCAAGCGTATGAATATCCTTTTTGAACATTATTCGCGTCCCATTTTAACCAGGATAATTTTACATCTTTGTTACAATAAACCGGTTTTCTAATATCCTCGTAAGGATTATTGTGACCAATTAAAACAACGGCTTTTTGCTTTTTGGGATCATACACCAATTTCCAAAAAATTTCAGGAACTGGGAATAATTTGACTTTCTTAGTGGCATACAAGTAAATATTAGTACTTAACTTTTTCTTATTGGGCAATGAAGCTATACCGTAGGATCCAGTCCATATTTTTAAATCTACTTTATTATCAAACGCGTAATTTCTTACGCTAATTTCAATATCATTCCAATTACCACCGTTAAATGACTCCCATTGGGGTGCAACGTTTATGTATCTGTATGTAGCGAGTTGCATAGGGGCGTAATAAAAATCTGCTTTGGGTGCCAGGTGGCCTTTGTTTATAAACATTTTGTCATTAATATATGTTAGGTCTTTAGAGTCAAGTCCTAAGATTTGATTAATAATAACCCTAATATTTTTTGTTAAATATAACGCATTATCAAGTATTCCTTTAGAGTTGAAAAAATTATCTATCTGAAAAGAAGGATTACCAACATTTGGTACTCTATCATGAACTGAAGCGTGTAAATCGTAACGCGAATACAAAGCTAAACCAGTTTTAGTGTTAAAACAAATATCTATAGCGTTTAAATAGCGAGTTTGATTTAAATAAAATCCTATACTACCCATAGTAGTTCCTTCTTTAAAACAGTTTTCTTTAAAATCGTCACCTAAGTCTTCATTTTTCCATTTCCTTATGATAGGTCCACTAATACTGGAACACGATATACTTTCCCACTTGACAAATCCAGCAAAGTTCTTTATTAAAAAACTCCCATCCTTTCTACACACTGCCGATACAATGCTGTTGTCTAATACCTCGTCGAATACTTTAACTTTCTTTCCAGGACAGGCGAATTCGACGGATTGTTCGGAAGAAAATCGTATTGCATTCGATCCAGGCGCTGGATACATTAATGTAGTAGTTCCTGGTTCTATTAGAAGTGGTGACAATCGATTCGTTATTATTACTTCACAATAATCTACAACGCATAATTATAAATTATATCCGTTGTGAAGAAGATAAGGTATATTTAGATTATATTGTATAAATATTTACCATTATCATCGCCGCTTTTATCCTTGGGAAGCACCGCTACACAGGTGACTGTTGCCACAACACAAGCGCCTAGAACTGCGCCTAGAACTGCGCCTCCCAATATGGTCTTTTTCTTTCGGGTGTTTTGTACTTCTGTTTCTAATGGATCTTCATCGCTCGACATGTTTAAACGTTCAAAATCCATTTTAAATTAACGATTTCAATGCACCGGAATGAATGACGGGAAGTAGGTATACTGATAATATTTATAAATCCATTTGTGCATACTGATAAAATAACTTGTACAAATTTGCTCATTTTAAAATTAATTTAATATTACCTAGCTGAATAGATGTGTATAAAATAATTTAAATTACAAAAAAAAACATGTCTCATGTTGGATAAGGTGAGGTTATTTAGCTTCTTTATATTAAAGATGGTTAATATAGATTCGTGATAAGTAACAATACATTCGCTCTCAATTCATAATGTGGAACTTCCTGGAACCGAAGCAGAATATTAGCCTGCAGTGCGATAAAATAAACATGTCGATAACCACATTTCATCAATAACTTCCGAAAAATTATTGGAAACCGCTTCCGGACAGTGACCTAAAAATCGTCGAATTCGACGTTCTCTTCCTGAATTGCCAGATCATTACCAGACAGCGGGCCAGAAAACTAGGAAAAACATTAATATTCGGTTGCACTACAGACAGTCGGGGTGGCTCTTTCGTGGAAATTGTACGGAAGAGTGATCGATGCTCTTGCATTAAAAAAACAGTTTTTTATGTTGTGGAGTTATACAGGGCGTCGCAAAAAGATTGGGACATGGCTTAACTATAGGATTATGAGATGAAAATAAGATGATTCCTGATGGGTACCTACATCAAGAAATGTATAGTATATAAAGAAGTTGCTGTAATTGGTAAAGATAAGAATAAAAAAGAGACACTCTGTGTAGAGAGTTTTTATCTAAATAGAGCAATCTTAGTGCAACGTAACGGAATTATTCGAGTAGTTAATTTAGTTTGACGGTTCGCGAACTTTCAGTTAGTGAAAATTAGTCAAAATTCGATTATCGAGCTGGGAAACTTCGCTAACGATACAGCGATTTGTACGCAATTCGCTTTATTTCGCGTTCATTTGGCTTTGATGCGTCCCGATCGCGTTCGATCCTGGACGAATCCGGAACGGTTCGCGGTCCGGAAGATTTACAAGCGACTGGCGGAATATCGGAAGATATAAAATGCTCTTTAAAAACGGATTCCGGCGAGTCATTCGTCTTAATTTCGCAAAAAGTAATTCCGCATTACTGGCTGACGTCGAACAGAAGAATCCTGTAAAAAAAATCTCGAAATCTCGTTTCGAGATGATGGACGATCCTCTCTCTAAAGTCTGAAGCAACTTTCCCAGTTTCCATCTAACAACAGGTTTTTTTTACCGGGCTTATTCCCTTTACATTGATAAACGTACACCTATTTTAAACTGGAAGCGAAATAAAAAACAACCACTCTGACGGTGTAATCATTAATCAACTGAAAAATTGATCCACCTCTTTTTTGTTAATAACGAAGCATACTGTAGGTATTCATAACTCCTAATATTTACGCCCCTCTATAAATCCCGGAAAAACAAAAACCCCTAATAAATTAATAAATGTTACGTACGAAATATACACGGAGTTACGTTTTACGTAATCCGTATTTGCCTATCAAACCGTTTTGATCGGGCGTAATTCAAACGGGGAAGCGCGTCAACTGCACGAGTTTCCCCGAATAAATTCCGGTTATTATATAAATTCCTAAACTATAATTAATTATTATTGCGATTACTGTTGACGTTGTTGTGTTATCGTCCCAATTGGGAACGAATCCCGCTTAATTTATAGCGACCGGTTAATTAATTAGCATCAGATTCGATATTTACTCGATGATAATTGAACGCGTTTAATGGCGACTTGTATTATCGCGTTATACAATGAAATTTGGATGAGAATTCGGCCGATTTTCGTTTCGTCGAGCGCCCAGGAAAGTGTTTGGACTAAAAATCGATCGCCTCCCCAACCTGGATGGGCCACATAGTGGGAATTAGGTCACAAACAAGGACAAGTGTCCCAGCAGGTTTCGAATTAACTTTGATTGATTGATAACCGTCAATCCGGTTTAACGATTCTGTTATTACGTTTCTCGATCGAAAGCGATTAAAATTAATAACAATTCGTTTAAATACAACGGTAACCTCTCCAAAAATACGGCTTATATAACGTTATAAATTTATTCTTTTCATCAGTTCCTTCCTTTCGATCGAGCTGCTGTAATAATCGAAAACTTGTTGCGTTACTCCATCTCTTTGTGTACAGACAACAATGAAGATTGTTATTTTACTTTATTGCCTCATCTATTGATGTGTATTTGCGATTGTAGATTTTCTATCAAACGCCATATAAAGCGCATTAATGCGCGTTAATCCGTTTAATTTGTTTGATTCAAACTCTCTAACGCCGAAGAGGATGCATAATGTATCAAAGTTCCTGCTAATAGGCAAATATCAACGCGAGCGAAATTAACGCGATCGCTAATTTAATGGCTTTAGAAATCCATCGGGAATGCGACAAATAACACGAGGATTTATGTAAGAAAAGCGCAACTGCAGTGGATTCATAGTAAGGATGGTTTTTGAGGGCTATTTTCGTCGAATTGTTTTCCTTTTTATCGACGATTTCCTCTCGTTGAAAAATGCTCGGCTCCGATGGATCGCGCCCTTGACGCTCTCGACGTTCCTGATAAATGAATCGACATTTATCTTTATGTAGCCGAACGGAAAAAACTGGAGAAAAATGTTTTATTTTCTTTCGACCGCAATTATTCGGTTTATTAAACTTGAAACGTTTCTATATTTACCTAATTGAGTAATTAATCGTGTGTCCATTTGTTTGTGTATCTACGATTCGGTAGAAGAACTTTCGTTGGAAACTTTGGAGCAATTTAGAAACCTTTTTCGGGCGTAGGGAAGAAATTTATTCAGCCCCGCGTCGATAGTTTCTAATCCCCGTACCGGTGTCGAATAACTTGAGACTCTAAATCAACATCAATCGAGCCGAGTAGATTGCCAATACCTTCGCTTCGAATGCAAACAATTCGATCGGCCTCAATCAGACGCGCTGGTAATTAGGAAATCGGCGCCTGGAGGTGTTTTCGGGAGCAGTCAAATGACTCCGAACCTGCAGGAGTTCGTTGATTGTTTGCTTTTCGAATAATTTTTGCTAAATCTCGTTTAGAGTCTCAATTGGTTGGAGTTTTTTTTGGAAGAGTAAAATGCCTATCGCGTCTGGACCGGTGCCAAAAATATTTCGATATTACATTTGCAATTTCGTCGGAAATTATTTTAGTGCCGATGGTTTTTAAAATAAACACTTTATACGGCTGGAAGCTTTTTGGTAAATATTTTACTGATGGCAGTTATTCGGAATTATTTTGGATGTAATAATAATCGTGGAATATTTTCAATTGTACTTCCGCAAATACCTACTGTTTCGGAATTTTAACTCTATTTAGCAGGAAAAAATACCAAGCCGATTCAAGTACAATCGGCCTGGAAGTTTTCGGCAATCTGCGAGTTTATTAAGAAAGTGAAAATTAGTGGAGATGGGTTATTATGTGGTGGTAAGAAAGAAAATTTCGCGCAGCTATTTACCGAGAGTAATTTAAGGAAAACGGGTTTTTATGAACGCCCGAGAAACATAATAAAACCGACGATACGAAGCGTTATTAAGGCCGAACAAACAACTTCCTTCATTTTTTTACGAAGGAAATGAATTTCTGCAAATATTGATACAAAAAACCCGACAGTGATTCTATTCGCAGGCATCCTCTATTGCATCCAATTCACTTCGCGAAAACCTACCGATGTAATATTCAAATTTACCGTTGCCGTTTTACAAACTTTCCTACTCCAATTTCTTCGCATTGTTTCGACTTTATTCTTCGATTGACAAATAGAAAAGGCCTTCCTTTGTTCCAGCTTACTCCCTTAAATTCCCCGCTCCGATTACACCGTCTGGAAAGCCGAAGCGCAGATGCTATCTTTTTGATCCATCTTTATTTTACGAAATGAAAGTGCTCTATGAGACTCGAGATTAATATAGAGCCTGATGGCAGGTTGTTCACTCCGGATAACACCTATGAACTTGATTTATCATCCCGGGATTTTTACAGTGGTGTTCATTGAGGTGTTAACTGAATTTACAGCACTTGATTGATGGATATCTAATAGATAGCAATAGCATCTATTTATACCGGGCAAATAGATGCTGTTGCTCGACGAAACAAGGTCATCAATTTAATAAAACTGTTTGGCTTTCGTTGCGACAGAGCAAACACCGAGCACAAATTAAACTGGAAATTGTTTACGAAATTAATTAAAGTCGAAGTTCGGGGATTGTTTGGCGTTTCGAATTAAAGTAAACCTTAAACTTCCTCTTATAAACAAAAAAGGGAAAAAAGCGCCCCCGACTCGAAGACAAAAGGACTTTTTTTTCTAAAATCCGCAATGTACTTTGCGAAAGAAGAGGTCAATAGAACTAAAATGCAGCGGCGTGCGATAAAACGAAACCAAAATATCAATTTACCCATTAGTGAAAACCGTATTATTACCAAACGAAGTGGGTGTAGTTTCTCCTTGACCTCACCTAAGCAATTACCGCAAATTTCATCCAATTAACGAAGCAAAGTTGAATCGCAATTCATGACTCTCTGCGGAGAGGCTTTAGAAATTCGTTCGAACTGTTACAACGAAAAAATAACGTTAGTTTAATTATTTACCGTCCGGACTTAATCACGTCGGTTTCTGAGTAAATCACAAAGCTGCTCTGCAGAGCTCTGGGATTTCCAGCACCGGGTTAAATACATCCTCCCAGTCGCAAATAATATATCCTGCGGTTCTTCTGCTCTGCCTTACATAATCCAAGAAATGTCCTTAATTATAACACCATTAACCGCTTTGATTAGTTTTATTATCGCGTTAATTCGAACGCTTGTGCAGGATTGTTTTTCATTGCGTTTAAGTTTGCCTGTAAGCTTTTATTTTTATCAACGCAACAAGAACATTTTTGCATCTTCTATAGTCTGTACGCCATTGAAACAAAAAGTTCAATATCCGGTTAGTTGCTATATTTCTTTGTCGAGCCGAATGGCGGAGGTAAATA